CTGGCTGACCCCTTCTTAGGCTCGCACGACCTGACCGCAAGAGAACCAGAGATGCACATCGACATTTGCTCTCAAACGCAACATGCTTGGCTACATGCCAATCGATTTCCAACCTGTCGTATCCTTCTTCAAGGAGCCGGCAAGTCTTAAGTCGAGAGAGCTCATCGGAACAGTTGCTGACAGAGGGCACTCGCGCCGTCCATATATACAAGCCTTTGAGTTGGGTGCGTCGACTAAGACTCCTGAGCATTATGCGGTGCCTCTCAACACTGGTTTTCAAAGAAATGAGAGAAGCCCTAGCAGCTTCATTATCAATGAACAACATGACACGGACAAATTCAAACAAATCACTTAAAAGCTGTACAGCATACACTGCCGCAAAAAGTTCCAAAGTGGAAATGACCTTCGCGGTTTCGTTCTGCCACTGATTCATGATTCCAGAAGGGACGATACCAGAAAAGAAAAACCTCCGCACGATCACATCATGATCCACAAAGTAGGCCACCATGCCCACACTGCCACAAGTGTCATAATTTTCAAGAGCAGCATCGGTAAAAATGTAAAGTCTGCGTTGCGACATGCCGGCAGTGAGTCTACGAGGCATTGAGTGGCGTAGAAACTCAATTATCCACAAAATTTCATCTCGCAGTTCATCTGATACATCACTACCCGAAAGTTTGCCACTTGCTCTCAAGTTAAAGAGTTTCACATGCGAGGCCAAAGCTCTTCCAAAAGTGTGCGTTTCAGCAAACTGAAGCTTTCCACGAATAGAGGTAGCTTGCGACACTGATAATGACTCAGTTTTGCACACCCTCTCCAAATCACTGCAAAGCTGATCGACTCGGGAAGCTTTGTTTCGCACCTCTACAATTCCAGCGGTAGAATTAGAAAAATCGAAAGTGACTCCCAAAGCATCGAACTGTCTCGACATCGGCATGCGCTTTGATTCTTTCCGTGAGATTTTCCAGCCAATGAGCTCAAAGAGGCGCTCAGCAGTGACTTGCGAATCATGTTCAGAGGCAGCCAAATCAATTTGCGGAAAATCATCATAATAGTTGCTCCAGACTAAACCCAGAAGCCGTAGTCCGATTGTATGACAAGCCCTGGCAATACGATTAAAACCGTATACACTTGCAGAAGCACCGAAGGGAAGAACATTGGACACAAACATACGTTTTCTTCCAGAAGGGTCATCAACAGCTAAGGCAGAGCGCCACAAGGAGGATTTTGCAGTTAAGATTTGTTTGTACGCCGCATCCAAATCAAGCGTCCTGCCGCAGAGAGTCTTAGCGGCTTCAACATCAAGTGATTTGTGCAGAACGCCTTTCAGGCGCTTACCATTGCTCAATTTGAAGTGGACTCGCCTGTCATCATTCACGGCCTCCAACCAGGAACGAGCAGTTGTGGAAATACCATCAATACCTGGAAGGTCCAGTTTGTAAGAACTTCCGTACGCCGAGTTCACAAGACTCTCTGACATATCATCGATGGATCTTATCTTGTCAGATTGTTCGAGGCCAAATCTCCTCGATACTATAAACATGGGCCCAGGCGTTGTACAAGTTCTTCCTCCTCATAAGGTCCAGACAACCAGCCACGTTCAGCTTCGGCACAAGTGTTTTCCCAAACAGTCTTGAGCACACGTTCTTCAACTCCACATGTGGATTTTGCAAGGATCTTCTTGCGGGTCCATGTCGAAGACTTCATTAGTTGCACATTGCTAATCGAAGGCTCTTTGATGTCTGGCTCAAACTGACCTGTAGGCTCACCTGCACCAGTTAGTTTGATTCCATTGAGCATTATGTCCGCCAGGCCGTCATCATCAACCCCGGCATCAGTACACATTCGTTTGAAGAGCAGGATCTTCTTGTCACGAATGATGAACTCACGTGCAGGATCCAATTGGTCATGTAACGTTTTCTCCTCGCCCTCAAATTCCATACTAAGACGTTCGTAATTGTCCAGTATAAGTTTTCTTTGTTCAGCAACTACCTTAGGCCCATCCGTGAGAAGCCAGAAAATAGCCCTTTTTACATCATCCTGGACCGAGCTGCAGTCGTCAAAAGGGTGTTGAAGTCGAAGAGCTTCTTCTGTGAATTGATCAGGCGTGCGATATATACCAATTTCAGCAATGCATTCATCATCTGTCCCCGTCTCTCCCATCTTAAAGGACAGCAGTTTGGCAGCAAATGGCAATTGAAAATGTTGCATCTCCTGTTCGGTCAGCATGCGTGGTGCTTGGCGTGGCCATTGTAAGGGCCACTTCAACAAACGAATGTGCGAAAATTCAGAAATGATTTGCGGCAGCAAGTTCCCACGCGGTTGCCGGCCACTTTGCGCCGCTCGCAGTTGGTTTGCGGGGGGATCTAGCTTGTACTTCTTGTTGGGAGGCTGTTGGACAAGGACAATGTTGTGTTGCCGTGCGTGTTCTTTAATGATAGCAGCGACTTTGGAGCACAGTTCCTCAGGGTATTCAGCCTCTTCTGCAGTGTTGAAGCGCCAACCATCAGTTTTGCGATCCACACCCCATGGCAAATGGGTATGGCCACCATCACAGGTGAGAGCAAGAGGACTGAAAGCGCTGCAGTTAGTGTAAAATGTTGTCCATTTGTCCCGGAGCGACCCATGCATACAGGCTTGAAATGTAATGGGAAAAAGGCATCTCTTTTTGATCAGCTTGCGAAACCACGAGGTGGCCCACATGTGTGAGCGTGTAGGATTCTCCACGGAAATGATGCAAGATGCAGGCAGCATAGCTAGAATTTTGCAAATGTTATCATAAACACTGTTGGCAAGTTGTACACGTTCCTTGTTGATACCATGCAGGTTGGGACGCCCATCTGGATGCTTAGTTGACCTCAAAGGCTTTGGGGCTGGGACGCCTTTCTTTCGAAGACGTCTTGGAACACGTTTCCCGCGGGCTCTCGAACATGTTCCACACGGCGGCGCCGCATGTGCATAAAGAACGGTGGCATGAGAAGCCACCAAAGACTTGAATTGTTCAACGCATCCTGGCTGTGCCAGATCTAGTTGAACAGTGGAGTGCTCTTGTTTATGACGATTCTTGGAATGATCAACTGCAAGAACACCAAAACCAGCTTTGTGGAGATGCTTGGAAAGCCGAGCACACCCAGCACAAAGTTCCACACATAGTACCCGATGGCTCGGACATCCATGCAGCTCGTCTGAATTGCGTTGGGCCCCCCGCTGGTCAGAAGGGGCCTCGCATTCATTTCACTGATGCTCAAATTGGGGGTGTGGCTTGCCACACCCCCATCTCATACAGCAGTGCCAGCCTTTGGGGCATCGTTCACCTGGCTTGGCTTTGCTGCATCCTTTGAGGTTGAAGTCATAGCAGTTGGGTTCACCTTGCGCATTGGTGGGGGCCATACCAATCAGCTGAGGTGGCATGCGGATCAAATTGGTCTTTGCACCTTTGCCACGACCTTTGCGACCTTTGGTTGGATTGTGGCTCGAATTGGCACGCAAGTTCTTCACTTGGCCTTGGAGATTGGCAATTGTCTGCTGCAGCTTTGCATACTCACC